AAATGTTTTCCTTAGCCAGAAACAATTTGAAAAACCTGATAAAAAAATTTTGTTTAATAATTATTTAAGAAAATGTTTTTCATTTTTTGCTTTATTACACCATTAAAGTAAGGTGCAGGCCATCGTAAATCTATTTCGCAAAGGCGTCGAGGTTTAAAATCTTGAAAACCAATTTTTTATATCAGCGCTCAGATATAAATGAGACTGTGTGCATGCACTGAAAAGAATTGATGATTTACGTGCAATAAGAGGATACACACAATGTTAAGTAGGTAGTGGGTATCCTCTTATTGCATGTGAACCCTCAATTTCTTCAAAAAAAAGGTAATAATAGTAAATTGAAATTTAATAATATAGAGCATGTAATGAATATTTGTTTTAAATAAATTTAAATATAAAGATTTATGTTAATTAATAATATTTTTGTCTGAATATTGTACAATTCTTTACTTGATTTAAAAGTGTTACAAGCGAAAGAAAAATATTTTACGTTCAAAGGCCCTCCTTCCTATACCACTGCTAGATCCCCAAAAAAAAGTCTTCAAAGTTGTAAATAACAAATAAGAATAGAAGCCCCATATAAAAAAAAGTGCGGTAGTTTACTACTGTTATAGAACTCTCTACCGTTGACAAAAGGGTTTCATGTCCGACTGCAACTTGCTTTAAGGTCATGTTATTCAGTGGTCACGTGTTCCCATAGTAAAGTATATGGAGCACGTGACCACTAGATAACATGACCTTAATTGTGTAATAAAGCAAAAAACGAAAAACATCCCAGTAAACGAAAACTAATTGAAATGAATTAAAAAGAATTCACAAAGAGCTTTCGTGAATCCCGCTTTGTGACAAATACGAATTGGAGCCTACCAAAAATGTTAATTCGTTTCAATTCATTTGAATTAGTTTTATTTACTGGGATTTTCTTAAATAATTATTAAACAAAATTTTTTTACCAGGTTTTTCAAATTGTTTCTGTCTAAGGAAAACATTTTACATAATTTGCATTTTATTTTAAAGCTGTACGTCTGTTCGCAAAAGAGAAAACATTTTATTTTTGATTTAAATAATCTCAGAAAGTTAATAAAAAAATTTAAAAAATTTTCCACTTTATATTTAAGAAGGATACAAATATTGTGGAAAAAAATCAGAATGCCCATTGAATATTATTTAAATGAGCTACATGCTTTCAAAGTAAAAAGGTATTTTAAAATAACCTAATTTTAAATGTTAGAATTCTTAAAGTTTGTAAGGAAGATGGAACCGAAATGTAATATTCAGGGTGGCCACCAAAACTCGTTAATAAAATTTACGTCTATTTCCCGGTTTTTTCAAGGTTTCTAGGAAATTTTCAAGGTTTTTTTGTTGGTTTAAATTTTACTATAGTTAGAGATGTGCAAAAAGCTCGAAAAGTCGAGCCGAGCCGAGCCGAAATTTTTTCGAGCCGAGCCGAGCCCGAGCCGGCTCGATGTATCGAGTACTCGAAATTTTCGAGTACTCGAGTGACTTCGAGTACTCGAAAAATTCGAGTACTCGGGTAAATTCGAGTACTCGATTAAATTCGAGCACTCGAGTGAATTCGAGTACTCGAATTTTTCGAGTACTCGAATGGATTCGAGCTTTTGACTTACTAAAAAAACTAATAATAAGTAAAAAATTTCGAATTTTTTTGAATTACTGAATCAATATTTCTATTTGCTAAATATAATAAATGCGAAAATTCTATGAATTTTCTCTAGAACTCGAATTTACTCAGAGCTCGAAAAAATTCGAGTACTCGAATTCCCTCGAGTGCTCGAAAAATTCGAGTACTCGAATTAACTCGAGTACTCGAAACTATTCGAGCTTTTTACACAGCTCGGCTCGGCTCGAACTCGGCTCGAGCTCGAACTGATTAGGCTCGGCTCGGCTCGGCTCGGCTCGAAAAATGAAAAGCTCGAAAAAGCTCGATCGAGCCTCGAGCTTCGAGCTTTTTGCACAACTCTAACTATAGTAATACTTAAAAAAATTCAACTACTTCCACATTTTTTACTATTTTTTATAGGCTTTTCTCACGATTCTGAACAATCAATCGTATAGATTTTAAAAAATTCAGGGTTGCCACAAATATTTAATTTTATTTTTCCCTGACTTTTCCCTGATTTCCTGACAAAATTTTCACTTTTTCCCTGACCATGAAGAATATTCTGATTCACTCTAAAAATTATTAAATATATTCTATTACATTTACTTACGAATTTCTTAAATTGTAAAATTATTCGCAAACATCAATAACTAATTTTTTAAATAAGTATTTAATTATTATTTTTCCATAGGAATTAAAATTCTTCAAAACATTCTAATTCAAACATGTTTAAAATTCAACAACTTATAAGAATCAATATTATTATAAAACATGAAGATATCAATTATGTACTCCGAGTCTTCGACTCGGAATGATTGATATCTTCATTTTTCATAAAAATTTTAATTTCCATAAAATTTAAAAAAAAAAAATTTTATTATTTACAAATATTATAATAAAATTCGTTGCATAAATTCAATTATTTTTACAAGTAATAAAATTTTCCACATAAATTAAATTATTTTAAAAAAAATTGATAAAATTAGTTGTAAGAATTCCATTATTTTCATAAATTATAAAATTTTTATGAGGATTTCAATTATTTATAATACAATTCAAAGTAAATTCCTAGAAAAATGGAATTATTCTCTTAATTTTTTTGTAAGAATTTAATTACATTTCACGAATATAATTAAATTCTTCGTTGAAATTCAAATATTTTCATAATCAACTTTTTTAATAAAAGTTCTCAAAAGAATTCAATTATTTAAAAAAATGTAATAAAATTCGATGCAGGAATTAAATTATTTTCATAAATAATAAGATTTTTTACATTAATTAAATTATTTTAATAAATTAATAAAATTCTTCACAGGATTTCAATTATTTTTTATTAAAATTTTAAGTAAATTCTTCGAAAAATGTCACTATTTTCAAAAATTTTGTTAAAATTTTTCGAAAGAATTCAATTATGTTTTTTGTATTTTATCAATTATGTATTTTTAAAAATTCATGCTATAATATTCATTTTAAAATCAATTTTTATTGGAAAATTCTACAAGAATTCAATTATTTAAGAACAAAAATAAATAATTTATTGAATAAATTAATTTTTTTCTAAACTAAATTAACATAAAGAATTTTATCAAGAAATTTGATTTTTGTCGAGAAATTTTAATAAAATTTTCAAGAATAATAAAATTTTTTGAGGAATTCAATTAAAATTGTATTAAAAATAATTGAAATTCTATGATGAATTTTATTATTTATGAAAATAATTGAATTTTTGTAAAAAATGTTATTATTTATGAAAATAATTGAATTATTGCAAAGTTTGTTTAGAATTTTATCAAAATTTGTTTTTTTAAATAATTGAATTCTTTTGAAAAATTTTATTAAAGCTGTAGGTAGATATTGAAAATCATTGAATTGAGAAAAATTTTTTGAAAATAATTGTTTTGCAAAGAATTTTATTAAAATTTTTGAAAATAATTGAAATTTGGAGAAGAATTTTATTATTTTTAAAGATAATTGAATTTTTATGAGAATTTTTTTTAATTTTTAAACATATGTAATTGAATTTCTACGAAGAATTTTATTACTTTTGAAAATAATTGAATTTCTGCAATCATTTGTAACTTCTCCAAAATTCAATTTTTTCCAGTCACTTAAATAAAAATCCCTGACCAATTTTACTTTCCCTGACTTTTCCCTGAATTCCCTGATTTTCCTGACCTGTGACAACCCAGAAAAATTTTAATTTTTTCAAAAAATAAAATTTTGAAAATGGTCAAAAAATTTTTTTTTAAGTTTTAATAATGTATAATAATAAAATTCAAGGTTTTTAAAAAAATTCACGTCCAATTCACGGTTTGACAAAATTCACGTCCATTTCAAGGTTTTCAAGGTTTCAAGGTCCGGCGGCCACCCTGAATATAGAGTAAAGGCATTTTCATAGAATTAGTTTTGAGGATAATAATTATATAAACGAATAATAAAGAAATCTATTTTCAAATGTAAATAATAACTGTTAAAACGAATTTGTTTTTCTAGATTTATAATCTGACATAATTTCTATTTGCACAAAAAACATAATTAACAGAATTTAGAATGGTCGATTTTTCATTGTGCCGAAAGTTGAAATAGTCGAATAGTTGAATAGTCGTTTAAAGCTTTTAGTAGTAGATGAGTGCGAACCATGATAATTTGAATAAATTTTTTTTTTAATATCCCGTGTGGAAAAGGTAGTGATGTTTGCCACTTCTGCCCCCTGCGTGGCTCTCATGGATTTGCCCACATCCGCTGATACCTGAGATATCAAGAGGGGAAATATTGTCTCCCCTCCAGTGCCTACTTTAAATTTCTTTCGATTCATGACAGAAATACAAAAAAAAAGGAGAAAGCTACATCTTTACGAATGAGGGGAAAATATATAAACTCAGATACTGGTGGGGGAAAGCTGCTCTAGTTTTCTTATGTGTACTTTTTGATATCCCCAATAGGAAGGGACAACCCGGTCGCGATGCATGAGAGTGCCTTCGTTGGGCCCCTGCGTGGCCCTCGCGTTTGCTCTAATATTTGCCCTCAATTTTATTTTTCAAAAATTAAATTAATAAATTCACTATTCATTAATGCCAAACAATTTATCTACGGGACCTAGATGAAAATAAAAGTTTTATTGTCGGTAATAAAAAAAAATATCTAAACATTTGTGTTAAAAACGCGATTTTCAAAGTTTAAAATCATTAAAAACATTAATTTTTTTTATGCAAAAAATGTATTCTTTTTTGCACTTAGAAATTTTTGCTAGTTAATGATGTGGATTCGCCCTCGTCGGCCCCTCCTGGGGTCCCTCACATCGTGTCGGCTTGATTAGGGCTTTTTCCACACGGGTAATTAGTTATTAATAATAAATATATTGAAATATATATTTATTTACCTTTCGGCTAGAATTGTTGAAAACGAGTCTTGTGATTAGGTTCCGAATGAAAATTCAGTTCACCTGAATGAAATTGTTCGTCAATTTCATTAATGCTGGTTGATGAAGAAGAGATAGGGGAGAAGCAGATTTCACTAACGCCTGGTGATAATGGAAATCGCCAATTACCTACAAATTAGAAAATATTATAAGAAAATAAGCCAAATTTAGAATTTTTTTTCAAATTAATAATTCTTCATTAAAGTATTCATGTAAAAACATTTAGAATTTTATAATATTTTCGTACCTGTTTTTTCGGATTTAATAATAGTGCGAAAGAATTCTTTCTGCGTTGGTTGATGATTGATTCTTTTCGGGCCACTCAATGCGAATTGAACCGAATTGCCTGAAATCTGCAACCAGCATCCAGTCGACTGTATCCCAAGGTAGGCCAGCAAAGAAAACTTTAGAGGAAGAACGTGTGTCTTTATACAGCGCTAAAAAATGAAAAAAACAATTTTATTCTTTATTTTATAATTCTTTTTTCAAATTTTTAATTTTCACTGAAAAGACAAAGTTTAAATTATTTTTAAGAAATGTACTATTTTTTTTACATACCAGCTGTATTTGTATGGCACAGCACTGCTTGATCGTGTGATATTAAAAAGTTCCGAGATATTGTTGTAAATGATTATAATTCCACGAATGATGATGCTGCTGATGGGAACTGAAATTGTTCATTTCCGACGACACCATAGAATTTATCGATGGCGGATAGCATTGACGAGACGATGAATTTATTGATGAACAAGTCTGTAGAAAAATTAATAAAAAATAAAAATGTTCAATTATTGCATATAATAATAATGACCAAGATATTATGACTTTAAGTAAAGTTATGACTTTTTCATTCTATATAATAATGAATGTAGGTATATTAAAAAATGAAAACTTTAAATTGAAAAAAAATTAAATTAAATTAAATTAAACTTTTTCAACAAAATTTAATTCTACAAAATTGTTGGTTAAAAATATGAAGAAATTCAAGTATTCACAAATTTGAATTTTAAACCTTTTTGAAATTAAATTAAATATAAAAATCTACACTATAATGCTTTTAATATTCAATTATTATTAAAAATTTTAACTGAAATTCGATTTTTAAATTACAAAATTTTACGAGTCAAAAAATTATTTAAATACAAAAATTAAATATTTTATTGAATTTACGTATCTAAATAGGAAAATAAATAATTTCTTGAATATTGAAATGCTCCTTGAAATCAATAAATTTTTAATTAATTCTTTTCAATAATTTTAATAAAATTTCAAATTTTGCATTGACTTTTACATTTATGACGAAATAATTGAATGTTTGTGTAGATTAAAAATAATTCTTGAAAATAAATTGAATTTCTTTAAATTTTATTTATTCAAAAATAATTGTATTGAAAATATTTTAATTTTAAATTCTTTAAAGACATAATATTGAAATTTTGAGGATAATTGTAAAAAATTTCAAAATAAAATATTTTCTGCAATCATTTGTAACTTGTTCAAAATTTCATTTTTTCAGCAATTTTAACATATATTATTATAATTACTTAAATGTATATAAATATGTTAAAAAATTTAACTAATTTCAGAAGAATTTCAATTATTAAAGTTTTTCAAAAATATTAATTCTTTAACACTTCTAATGGATTATTTAAAAAAAATTTAAACTGAATTTTCTTCAATTTCATATATTTATGAAAACAAAATTACATATTTTAAAATTCAATTAATTTTAAAACATTTAGGCAAAATTATTCATTAAATAATTTATAAGTATAATAATTTTATGATATTTCATCAAGAACTAAGTTATTGAAGAACAATTATTGTGAAAATTAGAAATGATTGAAAATTTTGTATTAGAATTTGTAGTAAGTGAAATTCCACTGATTCAAATTGCGAGAATAGTGTCACTGATTCTCAGTCAAATTTCACTGATTCAGATTTAGAGAGTAATTTTAATGAAATTTAAAAATGTAATTAAAATTTTCGTACCTGTTTTTTCGGATTTAATAATAATGCGAAAGTATTCTTTCTGCGTTGGTTGATGATTGATTCTTTCCGGGCGACTCAATGCGAATTGAACCGAATTGCCTGAAATCTGCAACTTGAATCCAGTCGATCATATCCCAAAGTACACCAGCAAAGAAAACTTTAGACGTGTGTCCAGGATACAGCGCTAAAAAATGAAAAAAACAATTTTATTCTTTATTTTATAATTCTTTTTAAAAAAAAAAATAAATTGACAAAACATTTCTTTCGTCACTAAAATAATTATAATTATAATTATAATTATAATTATAAAAAAAAATATATATTCACAGTATTTTTGATAAAAGAAGAATTAAATCTATTCCTGAAAGTTTATTTTGTGTAAAAACAAAAATGACCTTCAATGTAATTATCTATTTCTACTGAATTTCTTATTTACGAGATAAAATAGAGTTTAGAAGACATTTTGAAAATCTATAGCTATATGTACTTAAAGTTGTTGTGTTTACAAACACGTTATAGTGTATATACTAAAGAGAATGCTACACAAAAGAAAGAAGCAAATTTTATAGACACCTATTGGAAATAATTTCTTGAAGAAAAATATATGAGTAATTAAAAAATTTTCCCTTTTCTGAAATTTTATATTAAAAATTGGAAAAAAATACTATTTTTATATAGTTGGAAAAATTCAATTAAAAAAGTGAAAAGGGAATTTTCACAAATGAAATTACGTTTTTCAGCAAGAGCGGGGGGGGTGGTTTCTACTCAACTTGACACAATGTATTTTTCACACGTGAAATTAAATAAAACTGTTAGACAAAGGAAGGGGGGGGAGGGAATTGAAAAACTAAAAAAATTGCGTAACGTCAATTGTAAACGCTCCAAAAAAGTAAGAAAAAAAGAAATGTAAAATCACGACTCACCTGTTAATACAAAATATTCTTTTATTGCCCGGTTGCTGGCCTGTTGTCCACGTAGAGAAATGAGCAGTACTGGAAATGAGAATGATCTGAATATACGATCCGGCGCCGGCCGGCGTGATTTGGTAAAGCGTGCTTCAACAGTGTTGCCAACTGTGACGCGAATATCGAATTGGGGAGAGGGGATCCTTACATTCAAATTTGACCAGTAGAGTGCTTTATGGCGCTAAAATTTAAATACGATTATTTGCATAATAATAATTTACTGCAATAAAAATGTTTATTCACGTTTTTGAAAATAATCCATTGAATGTAGTAATTATACAATAATATTATGATAAAAAAAATTATTGTATTTTTTTATTTAATGCATTTATTTTACAAAATTTATATTTAGTACGTTTAGTCTCGTACGTGTGCATGTGCATCTTTTTCGTTTTTCTCGTTTTTCTCAGGCTGCGTCTACAATAGAAAAAAAAAATCGCACAAATCCAATACTTTCTCATTTTTGATGAGAATGTAATAATGTGTAATTTGTAGTGTAATGTGTATTGTTTTTGGCATTGACAACTGTCAGGGACAATTATATTACACAATTTGAATAAAAGTGTAAAATTACACTGTCCGACGGTGGAAAAAAGTGACCATCTGTTGGAAGGGTTTATTAATAACGTATTATAAATTAACAATAAACAACATTGATATAACATAGAAATAGAAATTTGTTAAATTCAGGCTAATTCACACTCCGCATTGGTAATTTTACACCACTCGGGTCTTTTTACATTGAGGTCGGACGGTGTAAATTAATGAATTAATTAATTTTTTAAATGAACATAGAAAATTAAAAATAATTAATTAAAAATAATTAATTTGATAGTTTTTCCATCTAAAAATTTTTTTTATTTCTATTATAATTATTGAATAATAATATAATTTTTAGATGCAAAAACTATCAAATTAATTATTTTTAATTAATTCAAATTTAGAGAACAGTATAAATATCTATGCAAAATGAAATAAAAAGCGATATTTTAAAAACAAATGAAAATAATAAAGCTTTTTTTAATTTGGTGAAAAAATTCCCGGTTCTGCATAAAATTCCGGTCTTATTTCCTGTTTTTCCTGTCAAATTAAATTCCCTGTTATTTTATACTTTGTAACTTTCAGATTTTAAAATTAATATAGAACGATTAAAAATAAACGATTTTATTAATAAACGATTAAAAATAAGGGGAGAAGGGACCTCCTCATTAATTCTTATTATCACTATTGATAAGAATCAATAATGCGAGGAGAGGGATTTTTTTTAATTTTTCTTAACGTTTCATTTTTTCAATTTTTAACAATTTTAAATTACTCTTTTTCATTTTTCTTTAACAACAGTTTTTTCCCATAGTTTTTCTTTTTTTATTTTAAAATTCAAATAATAATTCTATTTTAAATTCGATCCAAACATAACTCTAACAAGTATTTCAGTTGTTACTTGGTTGATAGTTCTGTTGGAATTGCAGTTGTCAGACTATGGTGTCGATATACAAGAAATTTTAGAATTGGGATTTGCAGTTTGGTGACAATGTTCCACAGTAAAAAGAAAGTCTTATTTTAAGGCACGAAAGGTACCTTAAATTAAGATGCAACATTTTTAAGACAGCCTTTGCTTAATTTCAAATCATATTTTTTTGCTGAATTTAAAGACCTAAGCAAGCTGATTTTCAGCACTGAATGTGCTGAATTTAAGGCAGTCATATTAAAATGATAATGATAATGTCAGCTGGTGCACACTTTTTACATCCAAATATTAAAAATTCTATTACGTATATATTGTTACTTTTTTCCAAAATTTATTTACACTCTTTTGCATTAAACATATTATTCATAAAGATATCTAAATATTTATTATTACATGTAACAAAATTTGACATTTTGAGGTTATGTATTTTGTTTTTTTTTATTGGCAGCGCTCAGACTATAGTATGGTCAGTTTCGAAATAACTTTTTATTCGTATTTTAGTTGATTCATAATAATAATAACTAATTTATCGATAGTTTTCGATTATCGGTAAGGAAAATTTAAAATTTAGACTTTCTGAAAATGACCATATTATGAGTTGTAAACAAAATTAGTATATTTAGGTATTTATCAACAATGTAAAAAACTAATATAAAATAATAATAATAATAATAATAATAATATATAATTTAGACTTTCTGAAAATGACCATATTATGAGTTGTAAACAAAATTAGTATATTTAGGTATTTATCAACAATGTAAAAAACTAACCTGAACCTGTCAATTGCTTGAGGATTAAAAATAATATGTGAATAAAATGTGAGAAATGTAAAGAATATTAAATTCAGTGAGTAATTTAGAAATTCACTACAGTAATGAGATCTGTCAATTCAGATTGCTTAGCCTTATTTTCACACAAGCTGTGCTTAAATTAAGACTGGTCTTAGTTTCAAGACTTGTTTAATTTCAGCTTGTTCTTAAAATAAGATTTACTTTTTACTGTGTCCATTTTGTTTTTTCTCTTTCTATTGTACTACAATTAAAAAAAGACGAAACAGGAAAATGCAGTCGAAAAGTAGTAATCACTAGATGCACCAATTGAAAATAAAAAATTTGCTCCTTGCACTACATCTTGAATGGACTTTTATTTTTCAATATAGCTTCATTCATGTAGAAAATTTCTCGTAATTCTTAATAGCTGGACAAAAGGATTAGAACACCATAAAATGTGCCATATACCGTGTCATTTAAAATGTGGTTTGTTCGATTCTCGCTCTTCGATACAAGAAATGGTGATTCAATCTAAATTACATACATCTTACAATTAGTGTGACCTTTGAAACCCTCGTCAATAATTTTTATATTTGACGGTGCCGCAGTAGGTGGTGTGAAAATACTTTTACCAATGATCGTTTCATCAAATTATTAATCACTTGCTTCCTAATTCTATCCACTTGATATTTTTATTAAATAATCAAGCATTTTATATACATTCATGTAACTCCAAATATTTATAGTATTTTAGTACGTCAAGAATTCAGTACGTCAAGAATTTGACAACAATACCTGAGAGAGATAATATATTTTTTTTTTGAAAAAAAAAAATATATATTTCGAAACAAAGCACTGGAATAAAATTCTTGTGAATTAAGAATACACATCCATACAAATTGATATTAAAACCTATCGATAACACAATGCCCACAAATTAAGGTTTATTTCCATGTTCCTCTTTTTTCATCTCTGCAACCCCTATGCTGCTGATAGCTGTGCGATTTTTTAAAAAATTGCTGTTATTTTAACTTTTAGCTCTTTCATTTCACAATATGAAGGAATAAAAATCGTTTTCATAATTTCAAAAATATTCCTCTTCGTCAAATATGCTCTATTCGAAAAGTTATTGAAATAATCCGTTTATTAACTCGAAGAGAAATTTCTTTATGATTGAATCAGTAATTCAGGGTCCCAATCAAAAAACCGGTTATAAGTTTTTGAGACTCAAAATTTTCGAAATAAAATAAAAAAAGGATTTAAAATTTCAATTTCTTGAAAACATATTTCGTATTTGTTAAAAGATTACCAAAATGTTTCTCAAGATATTGGGATTAAAAACAGTTTAATTTTTGACTTACAGGGCAATGTTTTAAGCTTAAAAAAATTATAACCGCGGTTCTTTAATTGGAACCCTCAATTACAGTTTTTTTTAAACGAATCTTTTAGGAAAATGATATGTAGGTATGTATTTTTTGCTATATCCATCAGTTATTCTTGAAATACAATAACTTTTGAGAAGTAAAATATTCAAATCAAGTTCACCAAATTAAAAAAAGTTTTATTATTTTTATTTGTTTTTAAAATACCGCTTTTTATTTCAATTTGTATAGATATTTATACTGTTCTCTAAATTTGAATTAATTAATAAAAATAATTAATTTGATAGTTTTTGCATCTAAAAATTTTTTTTATTTTAATTATAATTATTGAATAATAATATAATTTTTAGATGCAAAAACTATGAAATTAATTATTTTTAATTAATTCAAATTTAGAGAACAGTATAAATATCTATACAAATTGAAATAAAAAGCGATATTTTAAAAACAAATGAAAATAATAAAGCTTTTTTTAATTTGGTGAAAAAATTCCCGGTTCTGCATAAAATTCTGGTCTTATTCGATGTTTTTCCGGTCAATTTAAATTCCCTGTTATTTTATACTTTGTAAGTTTCAGATTTTAAAATTAATATAGAACGATTAAAACGACATTAATACTTTATAATTTTGAAAATTTGGATTTGGACATTTTGACCAAGACATAAAGTCCAATCCAAAAATCCAACATAAACTATTTTTTTTGGACTTCATTGACTTTGGACTTTATGTCTTGGACATTTTGGTTTTGACTTTTTGTCCACAGAACATTCAGAATATTCTTGTGAATTTTTGAAATTGAATATTATTTTAGTACTTTTGACAAAATTTCCTGACTTTTTGCTGACTTTTTCCTTACTTCCCTGAATAAATTTATAGATAAATAGTGATTACGTACGGGTGGAGGTGCTACTACTTATAAGTTAATTTAAAAATCTATATCAATCAGAATGTTGTTCAGCAATACCCAAGCAACAACTCAGGTCATTGGCAGCCAATAGAAAAATATTTGAATGAGAGAAAATGAATTTTAACGTCATTTTTCACTAATTTTGTTTGTCTGATAGCGTACGAATGGGGGTGCTACTACTTATAAGTTAATTTAAAAATCTATATCAATCAGAATGTTGTTCAGCTTTCAGCAACAATTCAGAGCATTGTCAGCCAATTATTATTAAATATAATAATCGTCGTATTCATTCATTTATTCTGTACAGTCTGTCCACACCTGAATTTAGTCATGATTATGCTTTTATCTTTTTAATGGTAATAATAATAATAATAATATAAAATAATAATAATAATAATATATAATAATATAATAATTATTATTATTAATTATTATTATTAATATTAATATTTGAATTTTTTAAAATTTTGAACCTGAAATTATTCAGATTTTTTTATCTTTTAATAACTATTGTCAATAAGTAAACAAAAACTAATAACTAATTATTATATTCTGATATTCATTACTTTTAAAAGTTTGAAAAATGACTATTTTAAAATGCTTGTTTTTGCAATTATGATGATTTAAAACAAAGTTTACTTCGAAAGTGTTTAATAATTTAAATGTTTAATAATAATAATTAGTAATTATAATTATTAATTAATTATTACAATTAATTTAATAATTATAATTTATTTAACTATAATTTATTTAATTGAGAGTTAGTAAATTTATTAAAATTAATATTATAATTATTAATTTCTTATTATAATTAATTTATTAATTACAATTTATTTAACTATGAGTTATTAAATAAATATTTAATTGAAAATGCATGATTTAGATGAATAAATTGTAATAAATATTTACTTTCTGTGTAATAACAGTAAAAAAAATTATTTTCACCAAATATTAACTTTCTACTAATCGTCGGCAATTATTCATTTAAAAAACATTAAATTATGAAACGTTAGATATAAATATAATTAATTTATCATTAAAAAATTGTTTATATAGTAATTAAATTATTTTTTCTCATGTTACTGTGTTTTAAATAAGCGCGCGCCCTCTTAATCGAGCCTTTCTCACGCATGCGCAGTGTAGGCGTCTGGTGGCAGTGGTTGGCTTCACACTGCAGATATGTTCATTCCAATGCCATACATTGTCGAGGTAAGTCGTATAAATTTTCGCTAAAAAGTTGCTTTTACATCAACCACATTATCGATTATCGGTTTCTAATCTGTTTTCATTAGTATTTATTTAATTATTCGCTATTCTATTGCTGTAAATCTAATGCAAAAGATTATTGTGTCATTGATATTCCCGACCCTTCATTTGCAGTTTTTGCGCGTAATTTACTATCAATCGTAGTATAATTTGACAAATCGTTGTAGTTTTTTCAGCCAAATTTAATCGCCAATAAATGAACGTAACAAAATTGTTGAAAGATTTGAAATATTTGCAACAATTAAATGGGTAGGGTGGCGGGGAGAGGGGAGACGGAATAAAACAAAATGGCTGCCACATCAAAGTGGACTGTTCCGTCAGTGCTTCTATAATAGTTTAAGCGATTTAATTATTCGCGTTCTATATTTTATTATACATAATTATGCGTAACACAATTGCTGAAATGTGGTAAATATTTACAACAATGTAGTACAAAAGTGAAACAAATTAATTAATAAATACAAAGTGTTTGCAAAATATTACCTCACCAAATTACGTGTTTAATAGTCGTAGTATAAATTCATTAACAATATATAAAAAATAACTGTAAATTAGGATTAATTTCATAAAATTTAAAAAATTTTGATTTTTGCAAGTGAGTATAGGAGGTCAGGATAAATTTTGTCTTTATTTTAGCCAACAATATTTTTAAAAATAACAAACTAAAAAATAATAATCAGCCTTATAGTATTATTTTATTCTCAAGTTTTTAATTATCTTTTAAATATTTTTTATCCTCGTAAATAATCTTGAATACTCTTTATCTCTAACAATAAAAAAAGAAAAATGAAATTGTCAATAGACAAGTTAAAATATTTAAATTCCGGAAGTCGAAACCGCCCAGCGCGCCACCTACTACAATGTGCCGCCATTTTCTTTTTTCCGTTTTCCGGCATCCGGCCGGCATTTTTATCCTCATTACTCTCGTGCGTGGTGGCAGAATTTTGTGTTGTGCTCAATTAAAATCTAATCGTAGTTTTAGCATCCTTTTATTTATTCATATTTAATTAGCAGTACGAGATTTTTATTGAAATTACACGTTTTATTTGCAATATAGGTGAATACATTTTTTTTGCTGATTTCCGTGACGACAATCAACAAATTTATGTACAATAAATGTACGTATTTCTTTTTCGGATTACGAGGGCAAATCAAAAATTGTCTATTTGAATCTTTGGCGAATCCTGAACATTAATTTAGTAAGTGAAATGATAATTATTTAAAATTAAGTTTAAAAAACTAATGTTCTGAAAAGTTAGGTTACAAAATTTGTCTTGAGAACTTTTTACATTAATCGTTTACATTAACTTGACTTGACTGATTTCATCATAATCTATAATATAAATTGGTTCATTATTTTTAGAAAAATTGTGATTTGTTTTTTAATTGTAAAAAAAATTTTCAGTCGTTTGCTGTATAGCCCTGAACAGAATAAAACTGAAACGGAACGCCAGCACGAGATAGAAAAAGAGGGAAGTAGGTTTCTCGCCACCATTTCACGCCACCGTATCTCGCCATCCTTTCTCGCCATCGTTTCTCGCTACCGTTTTTCTTTCAAGGATTGTTTTAAAACGTAAGTTTCAACTTTTTTTATTTGTTTAGACATTATTGTCAAAAATTTGCTTATTTTATCAAATTAAAGAAACTCAAAAATTTTGTAGCAGAAATATTATAAAAAAAAAATTAGACAAAAATTGGTAATTGAGGTTATATTTATTAAATAATAAACAATTGTGTTTTTTTTATTAGAACAATTTATAAAACTATTTGAAAGTGTAGATTTTACGAGCTTACGAGAACAGGAAAAAAATAAGCCATTTTCAAATTTCATATTGCTTGTACTGCGCGTGTGCACAACAATCAGTTTATTATTTCTTTTCAAATTCACCATTTAATTTTATTCTATTAAAAATTTTATTTGCAAATTTGTTTTTCAATTTCTGATTGAATTTCCGAGATATTTAAAATTTTTTATTTATTATTAATTCGAATAAATATATATTTAAAATTAAATCGGATTTTTAAATTAATTTACTTTTAATAACTATACATATTTTAATTAGAATATTTTTGTTAATATATTTGAATTAATATATTTCTGTTCAAAAAATTATTTTTCTTCTCACAAGTGAGAAGAATCTATATAAATAAAATTTATTTCACCGTTGTGACATTACTGCATAAAAAAGAGATGTTCGGAAATTAACCTCTATTAATTAATTAATTCACAGTGAAATATTATGTTTGTCAATTCGTTTTCAGAGTAAAACAAACATATTTTTTTTCAGATTCTGGATTCAAACTTGTTTGTAATGACCATTATGGTCATCGTCAACTGTATATGATCGCCAGCGTTTCTCGCCACCCTTTGTCGCCACCCAATGTCGCCACCATTTCTTGCAACCGTATCTCGCCATCCTTTCTCGCCATCGTTTCTCGCTACCGTTTTTCTATCAAAGATTGTTTTAAAACGTAAGTTTCAACTTTTTTTATTTGTTTAGACATTATTGTCAAAAATTTGCTTATTTTATCAAATTAAAGAAACTCAAAAATTTTATAGCAGAAATTTTATTTAAAAAAAATAGACAAAAATTGGTAATTGAGGTTATATTTATTAAATAATAAATCATTGTCTTTTTTTCATTATAAATATAGAACAATTTATAAAATTATCAGAAATAGTGTAGATTTTACAAGCTTACGAGAACGGGAAAAAAATAAGCCATTTTCAAATTTGATATTGCTTGTACTGCGCGTGTGCACAACAATCAGTTTATTATTTCTTTCCGATTACACCATTTTTTTTAGTTCAATTAAAAATTTTATTTGCAAATTTGTTTTTCAATTTCTGATTGAATTTCCGAAATATTTAAAATTTTCAATTTATTATTAATTCGAATAAATATATATTTAAAATTAAATCGGATTTTTAAATTAATTTACTTTTAATAACTATACATATTTTAATTAGAATATTTTTGTTAATATATTTGAATTAATATATTTCTGTTCAAAAAATTATTTTTCTTCTCACAAGTGAGAAGAATCTATATAAATAAAATTTATTTCACCGTTGTGACATTACTGCATAAAAAAGAGATGTTCGGAAATTAACCTCTATTAATTAATTAATTCACAGTGAAATATTATGTTTGTCAATTCGTTTTCAGAGTAAAACAAACATATTTTTTTTCAGATTCTGGATTCAAACTTGTTTGTAATGACCATTTAGGTCATCGTCAACTGTATATGATCGCCAGCGTTTCTCGCCACCCTTTGTCGCCATCCTTTGTCGCCACCTTCTTGCCACCGTTTCTCGCCACCATTTCTCGCCACCGTTTCTCGCCACCATTTCACGCCACCGTATCTCGCCATCCTTTCTCGCCATCGTTTCTCGCTACCGTTTTACTCTCAAGGATTGTTTTAAAACGTAAGTTTCAACTTATTTTATTTGTTTAGACATTATTGTTAAAAATTTGCTTTTTTTCAAATTAAACAAACTCAAAAATTTTATAGCAGAAATTTTATAAAAAAAAAAATTAGACAAAAATTGGTAATTGAGGTTATATTTATTAAATAATAAATCATTGTCTTTTTTTCATTATAAATATAGAACAATTTATAAAATTATCAGAAATAGTGTAGATTTTACAAGCTTACGAGAACGGGAAAAAAATAAGCCATTTTCAAATTTGATATTGCTTGTACTGCGCGTGTGCACAACAATCAGTTTATTATTTCTTTCCGATTACACCATTTTTTTTAGTTCAATTAAAAATTTTATTTGCAAATTTGTTTTTCAATTTCTGATTGAATTTCCGAAATATTTAAAATTTTCAATTTATTATTAATTCGAATAAATATATATTTAAAATTAAATCGGATTTTTAAATTAATTTACTTTTAATAACTATACATATTTTAATTAGAATATTTTTGTTAATATATTTGAATTAATATATTTCTGTTCAAAAAATTATTTTTCTTCTCACAAGTGAGAAGAATCTATATAAATAAAATTTATTTCACCGTTGTGACATTACTGCATAAAAAAGAGATGTTCGGAAATTAACCTCTATTAATTAATTAATTCACAGTGAAATATTATGTTTGTCAATTCGTTTTCAGAGTAAAACAAACATATTTTTTTTCAGATTCTGGATTCAAACTTGTTTGTAATGACCATTATGGTCATCGTCAACTGTATATGATCGCCAGCGTTTCTCGCCACCCTTTGTCGCCACCCAATGTCGCCACCATTTCTTGCAACCGTATCTCGCCATCCTTTCTCGCCATCGTTTCTCGCTACCGTTTTTCTATCAAAGATTGTTTTAAAACGTAAGTTTCAACTTTTTTTATTTGTTTAGACATTATTGTCAAAAATTTGCTTATTTTATCAAATTAAAGAAACTCAAAAATTTTGTAGCAGAAATTTTATTAAAAAAAAATTAGACAAAAATTGGTAATTGAGGTTATATTTATTAAATAATAAATCATTGTGTTTTTTTTATTGTAAATATAGAACAATTTATAAAATGTGTAGATTTTATAAGTGTGGATTTTACGAGCTTACGAGAACAGGAAAAAAATAAGCCATTTTCAAATTTGATATTGCTTGTACTGCGCGTGTGCACAACAATCAGTTTATTATTTCTTTCCGATTACACCATTTTTTTTAGTTCAATTAAAAATTTTATTTGCAAATTTGTTTTTCAATTTCTGATTGAATTTCCGAAATATTTAAAATTTTCAATTTATTATTAATTCGAATAAATATATATTTAAAATTAAATCGGATTTTTAAATTAATTTACTTTTAATAACTATACATATTTTAATTAGAATATTTTTGTTAATATATTTGAATTAATATATTTCTGTTCAAAAAATTATTTTTCTTCTCACAAGTGAGAAGAATCTATATAAATAAAATTTATTTCACCGTTGTGACATTACTGCAAAAAAAAGAGATGTTCGGAAATTAACCTCTATTAATTAATTAATTCACAGTGAAATATTATGTTTGTCAATTCGTTTTCAGAGTAAAACAAACATATTTTTTTTCAGATTCTGGATTCAAACTTGTTTGTAATGACCATTTAGGTCATCGTCAACTGTATATGATCGCCAGCGTTTCTCGCCACCCTTTGTCGCCACCTTCTTGCCACCGTTTCTCGCCACCATTTCACGCCACCGTTTCTCGCCATCCTTTGTCGCCAACGTATCTCGCCATCCTTTCTCGCCATCGTTTCTCGCTACCGTTTTTCTATCAAGGATTGTTTTAAAACGTAAGTTTCAACTTTTTTTATTTGTTTAGACATTATTGTCAAAAATTTGCTTTTTTTCAAATTAAACAAACTCAAAAATTTTATAGCAGAAATTTTATTTAAAAAAAATAGACAAAAATTGGTAATTGAGGTTATATTTATTAAATAATAAATCATTGTCTTTTTTTCATTATAAATATAGAACAATTTATAAAATTATCAGAAATAGTGTAGATTTTACAAGCTTACGAGAACGGGAAAAAAATAAGCCATTTTCAAATTTGATATTGCTTGTACTGCGCGTGTGCACAACAATCAGTTTATTATTTCTTTCCGATTACACCATTTTTTTTAGTTCAATTAAAAATTTTATTTGCAAATTTGTTTTTCAATTTCTGATTGAATTTCCGAAATATTTAAAATTTTCAATTTATTATTAATTCGAATAAATATATATTTAAAATTAAATCGGATTTTTAAATTAATTTACTTTTAATAACTATACATATTTTAATTAGAATATTTTTGTTAATATATTTGAATTAATATATTTTTGGCAAAATATTTGAACTAATTATTATTATTTTCATAAATAATAAGAATTACAATATAATTCTTTGTAAAATTGAATTATTTTAAAAAACTTTTCGCAATTCAATAATTTTCAACATCTACTATTTTCACAAAATTTCCAAACAGAATTCAATTATTTAAAAATTTTTTGTAAAAAGCTTTGTGAGAATTTCATTTTTTTCTGGAATAATAAAAAATTTCTCAGGACTTTAATTATTTTTGAAAATTTTTTATAAAATTGTTAACAGCTATTCAATAATTGCATCATAAATAATAAAAATCATCAAAGAATTTCAATTATTTCTAATACAATTTTAAACGAATTCTTCGAAAAATGTAATTCAAATTCTTAAAAATTTTATTAAAATTCGTCATCAATTGAAAAATTTGTTGGTAAAATTCTTTATGAGAATTAAATGTTAAGACAATGAATTATTTTTGTATTTAAATAATTGAATATTAAAAGCTGTATAGCGTGAATTTTTATAAATAATTGAATTTTGAAATTGATTTTTTTGAAATAAGTTAAATGAATTTTTTTTAAATTTCGTAAAATTGATTTAAAGAAGAATTTTAGTTAAAAATTGTTGAAAATAATAATAATTTTAAAAAATTAATTAATTAAAATTTCTTAATTTTAAATAAGATTAAAATTTTTAAATTTTCTTTTAGGTTTGGAATATTTGCCAGGAGACAAAGAAAATGAAGCGAAAGAGGCAGTCAATAACATTAAAGGATTTTCTACCTTCTTCATCTACTTCTTTAAATAATACTTCAAATTCTTCAAAATGTCCTGCTACTGCTGCATGTGGGAATAGTTCGAATAAAAATAAGGAAAATGCGAAACGACGTCGTGCCGATAAAGATAAGAAGGATACCAATTTAAAGAAGACTAAGAAAGATGATTCTTTGGAAAAGAATAAAAAGAAAGTTACTAAAAAGAGAACGGCGAACAATGAGGAAGATGAAGAACCTCCTATGGATGAGAGAAAAAGGAAGCGACTCAAACGATTGGGAACTCGAAAGTCAACTGTCAAAATATTCTTGGGCACCATATGTAAATCAAATGCCGTAAAGGAGAGAATAATTGAAGATGCGAAAATAATATCCAGAATGAGAATAGAAGTCTCTTTGATGGCGTTGCAGTCTCTTTATCATGACACAAATCATTATTTGCTTGAAAAGTGGACGAACGATGGTCCCAATTATTTAGAACTCTTTATTGCGTTGAAAAGAAAAATAAATACTCAAGTTGTTCGAGATCCTCAGTTTGTAGCGCTAATCGAAGAATATAAAGTGACACGTGGCAATATGCCACTTTACGATTGTGAATATCGTACGTCCATTATTCAAGAAGAAGCCCGTAAAATGAATCGTGAATTTAAAACAAGTTTCTTGAAACATTTCGAAACTAGATTGACGAGATTGGTTCAACATCTTTTGTCATCTAAAGATAATGCTTCAAACTCTGATGCTTCAAATTCTGATGCTGCCGATGACGCGGAAGAAGAGAAAATTGTGAAGGATGCTCTTGATGATGATGCGGAAGCTGAGAGAATTTTAAAAATGGCAAGACGAGAGAGACGCAATAATAAGAAGCGAAGGAATCGCAAAAAATTCAAAGCAAAACGTCGCAAGCTAAAAAAGATTGAAGCAACAGCAGCATCGAGAGAAGAAAATCATCGTAGGACTGCCAAGGAAATTGCAAATTTGAAAATTCAAGAAAGAAGAGAAAATCGTGCCAAGGACAATTCACATCGTGATAAAGTTTTTTCAAAGCGAAAAACTCGAAAAAGAAGAAAACATCCAAAAACTCATGGGAAGAGAAAGGATATGGCCTTAAAGAGTAGGTGGTCGAGCTCTGCAAGTAGAATTCGCAACAACACTTTTAGCACGAGAAAAGAAGCTATTCAAGTTGTTGAAAATCTTCTCAACAACAATAATTGCGACATTGCCGAATTTAATAATTTTCTGAATCCCCAAGAAGAGTTAAACTTTCAAAACATGAAACGAGACGTAAACGACGATGGTGAGGAAGATGATCGCAATTCTGAATGGACAAAATTCATTCCATTCATGATACGTGTTCAACAATACTTTCACGACAACAATATTCACAATTTTGTTCTTGTACCGCAAGCTCAACTCGGCATTGCACATGTATTGTATTCCAATACAGGTCTGGAAGATTTAAAGAGGGGTGCTGAGCAGGATGTATTTTTGAAAAAAGAATTGCAGATAAGGCGGCAGTCAATTCCTTTTCAACAGAAGCAACTCCAAATCAAAGAGGCCAAAACTTGCAAGAATGTAGAAATCAATCGATTTTTACAAATCAAGAATAAAATTCAAAGATGGGAGTACATTTTTGACATTTCCAGCGCGGAAAGGGGCAAAGTTGGTGCATTTGCTGAAGTGATGACAACAAATGGCGTCGATGCTTCAATAATATTTAATGTTCCAAAAATGGAATCTGTTGAAGAAAAGGAAGGCCCTGCTCCGGAAACTCGTTTCAAAGTCTTTTATGGTTTCGATCCCGGCAAGAAGGCGACATTGGGTGGTGTAAGAAGAGTTCGTGGTGCACAACCGTCAATGGAGGACAAATTGAAGGATAATCACATTTATTTAAAGAGCAGCAGTTTTCGTTGGCAGATGAATGATTTCAGAAGAAGGGAAAGGAAAAAGGAATTTGGTCTGGATCTTCAAAAATATTATAAACAGTATGTGCTTGAAAATCCAGAAAGAATGGCAAATTTTTCAAATACATCCTTATTAATTCTTATTATCACTATTGATAAGAATCAATAATGAGGAGAGGGATTTTTTTTAATTTTTCTTAACGTTTTATTTTTTCAATTTTTAACAATTTTCAATTACTCTATTTCATTTTTCTTTAACAATACTTTTTTACCATAGTTTTTCTTTTTTTTATTTTGAAATTCAAATAATAATTCTATTTTAAATTCGATCCAAACATAACCCTAACAATAAACAAGTAAAATATGATACTGCCAGCGATGTGTCACTCGTTGTGAAAAGAGCTGATATAATTCATAGTATGTTTAAAAAAATGCGAATATTTCATGCCAGACACTGTGCGGCAACAGAAAAAATTTTCCTTCATTGTTCACAGAAAACAAAAATTTATAAAATATTTTTTTACTCCAATTATAAATAAATTAAATTTTACACCGTTTCGTTTCGAGGATTTTTGTCATTATACATTTATACATAATTCATTGTTCTATAATATTTGACCTTTCTGAATTTAAAAATTGAAATTAATTGTTAATAAAGAATCTCGTTATTCCAACACTTTTTAAATTGCTGTTTGTTGATAAAGAAAAATTGATTATTAGTTTTTTTATTAGTTTTCGTCAAATTGGGTAGAACGTCTCATTGGAAAATTTATACTAAACCTAGCTTAACCTTAGCTTTTGTGGATATTTCAAGTCGGTACTTACTGAACGATAATCCTTTTACAAACTGCTATTAAGGAATCTGGAATCGCGAGAAGTACCTCTTTCTGGGTAAAGTTTTAAAATTAAGTTCACACTGTAGTCCAAAACCAATGATGCGAGAACTAACAACTGCAAAGAAACTTGGTACATTCGATTGTATATGAGTTTATTGATCAAACTTGAATCGAAACTACGTTTAAAAAGGTAACAATAATATATCTTAATTACTAGAAACTTAATTCATTTATGTAAGTTGTTGATTGATTGAAATGGTCGACTAAACAAGTTGATGAAAAAAGAACCAAAATACATAAATTTTTCTTCTTCAAGAAACAATAAGTAGTCGCGCGCCGCTTCAAGATTATTTTATTTATATTCCCGAGATCAGCTTGTGCCGTATTTCCTTTACTAAAAGTTTGTATAATTATTTCCTGAAAATCGTTCGGTATATCAAACTCTAAGGCTTCCTTAAACTTTGCAGCGTTACCTTATTCATTGATGTGTTTAGAAACTGTTTTAAAATAACTGTAAAAATTATTCATTAAACTAAACTGCGCTACAATTGCTGTTTAAAAAAAATGCCGGATATTTTATTGAGAAAAAAAAATGCTCCTTCATTTTTCCAAGAGTCTCTCAGATGAAAGTATAGTAGTGAAGAGTAATTTTTTCACACGCTTCGATAGAGTTAGTCGCTTTCGGTGCACACGAGTAAAGAAGGTGCTTCGTTGGACAAAAGAGAAATAAATTTCTTGAGAGGCCAGCCATCCTTGCCGTGATAGTGAGGAGAGGGAGGCAAGAAGGTATTCCTGGGAAAAAATGGGGTGACAATTCTTCTCTTTTAAGAGACATTAGTCGGTGCCATAGCCTCGGGCCAGTTTCGAGGTGGGAGCTGCGCGAACGTCGCTCTCAAGGGAAAAAAAAGCTTCTACACTACAAAAACCTAGACCTCGAACTCAAAAGATTTACACGACAAAGGTTCAAGCGGGAAACAGATAAAGAAAGTTACGATAATTGTCGCGTAAAGACATACTCTTTTTAAGTAAAAGAAAGAAAAACTCGAGACAAAAAAGTCCCAAGAAAAACACTGAACGAAGCGAATAAAATGGAAATTTAAAGAGTAAGAAAAAATCCATTTTTTTCTTTCAAAAGTAGTAAAAGTTTTACTTATAAAAATTGTATTTTATTCTCTTATCGTTTAATCTAAAACTGTGATCTCGAAAACTCTTGTGTTCAGAAATAAATAAAACAATTTTAAAGAAAATTTTAGAGATGCAAAAAAATGAACTTTTTGAAATTTCTTTCCCTTTTGCAGTCTGATTTCAAGTGGCGAAAAACCTTCTTTCATGTATTTTTTCTATCTTTAAAGCTTTCCTTAAATTTACTCCTACCTTTTTTCAAGACAGTCGCGGTAGGTTTCCACGACCCTATCTTTTTGTTGCTCTTCGCTGGCGCAGACTCCAGCGAAATATTCGCACACAAAACGTGAGAGAAGCCAAGCAAAAAAAATGGTTTATTTTATTGTCAAATGTCAAGCAATTCAGTGGAACCGTTAATTATCGCGATATTCGTCTTGGGGAAAAAACAAATAATTTTCTGGCGTGCTTTGAATTCTCATTATTTTAATATTTTATTTCGCTGCCTTTAATTTTCGATAATATTTAATCTTCATTTTGTTGAATTAAATTTAAAAGAGTAAAGAATGTTTAAACATTTACTCGAATCCCTACAGAGCGGGTATGTTTTTGAAACTCTTACAATTTTTACAATAATTTATATGTTCTTCCAGATGACACGTTTTTTATTTTCAGGAAAATAGCAGAGTTTCTGAAATGAAGTCATAAAAGTTTGGTCGCTAGCTTCACCTGAGTATCTGCTATAGCTTTTTATTGGATGGAATACATTTAACTTCGAGGGCACGTATCTCAAGTGAGAGCAGTTAGAAACGTGGGAGCAAATATTTTTATTATTCAAGTGTGAAATTCTAATTTTTCTCTAAGCGTAAATAAACCGAGCCCTAGAAATTTTCAAAAATGAAATAAAAAGCATTTTATTATTCGTACATAATTGCATTCGTACAAAAGTTCATAAAGTTCCTTGACGCTTTAAAGAAATCTGGCAAAGAATCGACTGACAGGAAGGAGGATGTTTAACTATTAGAAGAAGAAACCGTGAAATTGAAACTCGGATTCTCCGCTTGTAAAAGGACACTTTCAAAAAAAGACCAATACAGGAAAGAGAGGATTCGATGAGATTGCTCGGTAGAGAAATTGCTCAGGCGTTAAAGAAAATTTGATTGAAAACTGAAATCTTTCTTCCGATAATATACTGCAAATACCATACTCTGTCTATTTACACTCGATTCTTTTTTCTTCCTTCAATGTTGCCATTGAAAATATGTTTTCTCCTATTGTACGAATATAGGAATAAAAAATGGACCGACTGAAATTAATAAACTCACTTGACAAAGTTTTTTTACTTTTTTCACTAGTACAGATTGGCTGTTAAATTTCCTGCGCCACTGCTCAACTACGTGGCCTGATAAAATCGCAGATCCGTAATGGGATCTTAACGTGACACTGGTTTTTCCTGTGAATTATACATTATTACTTGTATATAATGTAGGCGATAAATTCTTAAAAAGAAGCGTCATTAATTAAATTAATCTTATAAATAGCATTATTTTTCTTCATTTCCTATTCAAGTTCCACTAAAACGTTAGGTTTATTTATATTTCTGACCCTTCACAATTAAAGTTTTTCTACATTTGTTTAAGTAATTTCAAAATACAATGAGCAATAATTATTTAGCAAAAGTTAATTTAATGGATGATTAAATTTACTTTTGCGTTTAATCGTCAGTGACGTGTGCTTACAAAAGATAATTAATTATTGTTTTCATAATAATTATGCTTTCAATGTTGAATCGAGAATTGGAATATTTGAAGATAATTTGTCGTTTCCAGTCCAATTTTCCATTTTAAAGTGTAAATACTTTTTTTTGTTAAGGAGAGCTTAAAATGTAGAAAAAGATGACTCTGATCAGATGCTTGGGCTAACTTGGGATTAGACAAAAATTTATTCACGGGAAATTCATTTTAAATAAATTTCTACAATTAATTTACAAAAGAATGAGAGAAGTATGCAAATCTTTTCACTAAATATTAAAATAAAACAATGAACGCAGGAATAATTGAAGAGTAGATATGAAGAGAATTCAGAATTCAATTAATGAACCGTGAATTCTCCATTCCTTCCGTTCTTTAAAGTTTTCACAGTTCAGTAAAGAACATTTTAAAAGCATAATAAAATTTTTACAAAAATTTTCAAATAAATTCAACATTGAAATCTTGAACAAAGCTTTTACAGAAAAATGAGTCAATTTTTAGATTTAAAATATAATTCAAGTGCATTTATAAAAGAAGGATTGGAGAAATTTTTTAAAATTTATAACCGACATTATTTCGTATGATAAATGTCAAATAAATACATCAACGTAGAAACTCGCTGACTTGATTTCATTGCGGTGTACCACCCTAGGGCAGTCCTTTGATGTCATCAAAGATTTGCTTACCGCAAACTCTCTCTCTCTCTCTCTCTCTCTCTCTCTCTCTCTCTCTCTCTCTCTCTCTCTCTCTCTCTCTCTCTCTCTCTCTCTCTCTCGCAATAAGCTTTCCAGAATGATTAGTGGCAACTAATTATCCCTCAAGTATATACATACATATATGTTTATATCATATTTTCATGAACTTGAAGAACATTTTTTTCCTCAAAACGAAAATTACACATTCAATTTCCTGACATAACTTTCACAACAAGAATGTCTGACTAAAATTAAAATTACTACTTATAAACGTTTTCCTCTGAAATTTCAAATTACATACATATTTCGCTGCAAAACTCATTTATTGGGCGTAATTATAACTTAATATATTATTGAAAATTAAAAGTAATTCTATAAAAGAATTTAAACAAGTACGGCTAAACGATAAAATTGAGAAATGGCGAACATTCTTCACGTGCATTTGAAATTATTGTCATAAGGCACTCGTTTGAATTCCGGAAGGGTAGGACGTTATTATCTCCAGACAATTAAATTAGCTGCTATTGAAATTGAATTATTTCGGAACAGGAATGCTGGCATTCAAACGAAAGCTGGCAATGTACATGGAAATGTATACATATACATAAAGTACAATGTTAATTAGATAGGCACCATGGTGCTCGATGATGATTACTATTATTATTATTATTATTATTATTATTATTATTATTATTATTATTATTATTATTATTATTATTATTATATGGGACTTATAATTAAATCTCAATATTATATCAACCTACTCTGTTCATTCGATGGAGCACATTTATTATAAATGCTAGCCATTGTTGTCCACTCCATATATACACCCCGATTCTTCCGCTATTCCAATTAATTTTATCAATAATAATTCTCTTTTCTCTTTATTTCATTTTATCCTTTATATATCACTCATTTTATTGAATACAATTAGGTCTTTCGTTTCAGTGACCATTCAGCGACGTTTCATTTGTTTCTCTTCTTTTGTTTTATACGGTTTTAACAACAACATTTATTATTTATAACCTCAATTTTTAAATATTTAATTGTTAGGTAATATGTGTGTTTTTTAAAACTACTTTTATAACCTACTCTTGACCTGTGTCTTTGCTTGGAATTTTCAAGTTTTTATTATTTTTGAATCATTTCAGTGTAATTGCGTTAATTTTTATGGAGGATTATCTCCTCGTGAAGATTATTAGAGAGAAATTATTGTTAAGTAAGGTGAAAGTTTTTGAATTTTCTTGGTAACGAATGCATTTGATGTTAACTTTTGTGCTACTGAGAGAATCGAGGAAAAGCGACATCGAAGGTGGAAGTTCAGTGCTTTAAGTTGCTTCCGCTTATCACAAAGTTTCGTCTTATTCGAGGAAAATATTCCTTGGCCAAGATCGTTAGGAAAGTTAGCAATTGAACAATGTGTCCACCACGTCTTCGCTGTAACAGTTCATTTATTGTTCATTGTTGGCGAATAAAAATGTTACTAACAACTTTATTAAATTTCTATTAATTATCGCCAACGTGGCTCATTGTTGTTTCGCGATACTTCGTATTCAGACTTATCAAGCAGCTGACTAAGAAGGGCAAGCAAAGTTTCCTCCATCTAATTTTCTACATGACGAACGTGACACCACGTACCGACACTTTCGTCCGAAATACACGCCTCTCTCATCCACAACGAAAATTTACCCATTGCACACTGCTGTCGAGAATAATTTACTCAAGAGATGAGATGTAGTCTGCCTCACAGAATCGCACGATATTTATTTCGCTCTCTGATGTACACTTGTACGCTTTGCAGCATATCAAAAATATTTTTGTCATTAATAAAATCTTAAAAAAATGTTAGACTTCGCACTGGATAATTATTTTTTGCTCGTTTCTTCATTTTCCTTTTTTTCCCTCTACTACTTTTTTTTTTTAGTTTGAAAGCTACTTTTTGCTACTTATTTTTAAAATTAATTATCGAGTGCGAAGTCTAACATTTTTTCAAGTTTTTATTAATGACAAAAATATTTTTTCAGCATCAAGAAACAACAGTTCTATAGCCGTGCGCGACTTGATCCAACGGATATAATATAGGTATAAATTAAAAAATATTTACTTAAATCAAATAAATAAAAACAAAGCCACTTCGATCCTTCGAAAAAATTGAGATTCTGTTTGCAACAAATTTGAGTTTTCTTCAAAAGAGAAAATGACGTGATACAGTACTATATGTTTTTGAAAAACACCAAAATCAGAATTAACAAAATTATTTTCCCAGTGTGTGCTTTTTTGAGAACATGCAGAAAGGGAGTGTGCGTGATGAACTGGCTGTTTCGGGCTCTTGCCTACAATTTGGAAACTTAATTGAGCGAAAGATGGGGTGACTTTGTCAATGTATGTAAATAAAGGGATTTTGATACGTCAAAAGCTAATGATACAAAGATAATTTTGTTTTCCTCTTGAGCCACGTTGATCTGAGGGTGAAGCTCATTTGCACGATGCGAGTCTTGGCCGCAAGCATCATTTGGTACACCTGCATCCAACTTTACTTGAATATATCATGCTAATTTCACATCCTGGCGCATAATATTCCATCGCATAAGCCTTATTTTATTATTGAAAATTTTTGCAAATTGTTGCAAATTTTCCTCATGCGCTTTATTAAAACCAAAATTTATTATAAGAATTCAGCGATTTACAAAAGTATTGTGGTTTGCCAAATTTTCTCAATCTCAACAGATGAAAATTTATAGGTGTCAGCCGAATTGTCTAACGAGTCTTCGAGACTCGAATTGAGAGCAGAAATTGCGTTTGTCGGCACAAGTTGAAGCATTTTCAATGGCTGTGCTGATAGTTTTTGGACCATTTAGTTCGGCGTTGTAAATGCCTCCAGGCCCTTGACTCATTCATCAACCGGGGAACCACTGGGGACCAACATGAACCAACCAAGACAAATTGCACGCTCACTAGTATTTCCGACGCCGATCTCACAACCTCGATTAAAGCCCCTTTGTTTTATTTTATCTTATTGCTAATAAACATTTTTCTTTCCTCATTCCTCACGCGTTGCCAAGAAAAAATGTCTTTCATTACGAATAATATAACTCAATATTTAATTAATAATTCTAGTTTTCTTGTTGAAACGAGTGCTTGTCGAGCTAAAAAGCTATATGCATTCATTGAAAGTATACCATTATTTCTCCAAGAGAGAAATGAATTTCATGCGTTTATCAAAATAGTCGAGATAGTAGACTATACTTTAGGAAAATGCAAAACAAGTAAAGAACCATTCAAGTGAAATATAGTTCTCGCGAGAGTTGAAGGCCATTCCTATGTAAAATAGTCTCGACTAAAGTATAGCTCGTCGCAACTTGACGATATGCTAAAAAATCATTTTTTCAAAGCTATTTCAGTTTTCAATTATTATTCTTTTAGAAATATTCTCCTTACCCTCATTTCCCTTTTTTTATTGCAACAGTTTATTAGAATTGTACGTGTATAATTATTATTTAAGAAACTAAAATCTAAATGTGGTTATAAGCCACATGAAAAAGTTAACATTGTTAACTCTCGGTAGCATCATGTGGAATGAAATATTTTTTCACGGCATTTTTGTGGGCGAGCTTTTTCTCTAAAGAAAAGAAAAGATATGCAAATACGAATGTAAGTTGTCGGCGAAAAGAGCTGCAGGAGCCTCAAGCGAAGAGGATTCTCCTTGTAAGTACCCTTCCTGAAGTAAGACCTTTTCCCGCGGACTATGATGAAACTTTTTAATGGAAAACTATAGCGAGTTGACAAGAGTTATGCTTAAATGCAGTTATGCACAAATGTCTCTAGACATTATTGCTCAACAAAATATTTTCCCAAAAACCTTTTAAACTTTACTGTTTTCCGAAAAAAAGAAAAATATTTTGAAGAAAATGGAAAACACACACAATAAAATGAGTCAAATATGTTTTCACCACTTATTATTTTTCGTAAAAATTAGAAAATTTCATGTTAATTTTCAATTGTTTAAAATTGTATAACAATGAATGAATAATCAATCCATTAAAGTCAGGTTCTTATCTTTAGTTATTTTTGTTCGGAAAAAAATTGTTTAAAATTTTTAATATTGAATGGAATGATATGATATGAAACACGCTCTCCATTTAAGTTTTCTTTCATTTGAAATATTTCCCAATCTCTTTCAATTTTTGTGTTAAGAATAAAGAAAATATTTTTTGGAAAATTAATTTAATATTAACAATTTATTAGTACTTATAATTTTTAAATTCATTCAATTTATCTTCATATATCACTTTTACTTCTATTTTTTTATAAATATATCTACTAATTACTCTAAAATAGCACTGAAACGAGTTTCTTTATCAGCAAATTATCAGTTGCAAAACAAAACAGTTTAAATTTATTTGCAAATTAAATGGGTGAGTTGCATTTTAACTTGCAAAGAAATGTCATTTAATTAATTCTTCAATATGTTTTTTGCATAAATTCATTCGATTATAAAACAGTTACAAAACTAATACATAATATGATTTTCCATGGGAAATTATTGCATTTTTTATGCATCTACTATTCTGCTGCGCTTCTAAGTGTTAAAAGTTTTAAAAGTTGTAAAATTTTGGGCGTTTTCCCCTTTCAATCAAAAAGTCACAATATCATGTTCGAGCAATTAATGAAGGGTTTGGCACTGCGTGGGCATAAAGTGGATGTTATCACTCATTTTGAATTAAGAAATCCACCAAGTAACTATCGAACAATTATTAATTTTAGTGAAATTAAGCACAACTTGCTTAATCTGACAAATAATTTGCCAATAGACAAAAGTGAGCAGAAAAGCGTTAATCCGTTAATCCGTTAATCCGTTAATCCGTTAATCGTTAATTGAGTTTAAATTTTCATTAACGATTGACGAAGTTATCTTTTAGATTAACAATGCCCACCTTTGACAATAAGTTTCATTTCAGTTTTGAAACACGATATGCCATACTATCTCGCCATCTTGCCAGGAAATGAAATTTGTCGATTATTATCTAATGAGAAAATGCAACAATTCATTAAAAATCCGCCAAATAAGTACGATCTCATCATTACCGAGGTAAACAAGTTTATGTACACCAATCGATTTGTGATAAATTGCTTATTCAATCAACTTTTCAGGCTTTTGCAGCAAATTGCTATTTTGGTTTGGGCTTCGTACTAAAAGCACCAGTCATAACGGTGTCTACAATGATGGAATTTCCATGGACTTTTAATTCAATCAGAAATCCCGATTCAACCGCTTTCATTGCAAATGTATTTTTTGGATCGTCAACAATTGAGACATTTTTCGATCGCTTAAGAAATACAATGACTGTCCATCTCGGCAGAAATAGATTTTACGGAATGGCCGACAAAACTCAGACAGAATTAATGAGAAAATATTTGAGTCCAGACATACCAAATATACGAGAAGTGGAAAAAAATGTTGCACTAATGTTTACAAATTGCCATTACACATTTTTTGGAGTGAGACCTCTCAGTCCAGCTATAATTTCCATAGCTGGTTTGCATGTTGAACAAAATACTGATGAGCTCTCATCGGTAAAAACGAGTATTTTTAAACTAGCACCAATATTTTTGGCTTCCATTATTAGGTTTACAAATATTTTTTGCAGGAATTGAAAAAATGGATGGATGACAGTGTACATGGTGTAATTTATTTCACATTTGGTTCAATGTTACTCATTGAAAGCCTTCCTAAAAAAGTTATTCTCAAATTTTATGCTGCATTTTCCAAAATATCACCTGTTAGAGTTTTAATGAAGGTAGCTAATGAAAATATGTTGCCTCCAGGTCTTCCTGAAAATGTGCTCACATTTGCATGGATACCTCAAATTCCAATTTTAAGTAAGAGTCACATTTAATTACTAAAGTAATAGTAATATTAAATTACTTGAAAATTTTGCTTTTTTATACGCAGAACATAATAATACCAAAGTTTTTATGACACATGGTGGTCTGATGGGAAGTCAAGAAGCACTTTTTTATAGTGTTCCTCTCATAGGATTTCCGCAAAGCGTTGATCAGTTTATAAATGTTGACGTTTTAGTGAGGAAAAGTATGGCAATTCAAATGGATCATGAAACAATGACAACTGAACACTTAATTGATTCTTTAAATTTAATTCTCTCGGATGCAACCTACAAGTAAGTTTTCAATACTGTACATACTTTTTTTTAAAAAGTTAATGGAAAATAAAACAATATAAATTTTTTTAGAAATGCTGCTGTACGTGAATCTCGTATTTTCCGAGATCGACCAATGAGGGCAATGGAAACTGCAATTTTTTGGGTGGAATACATAATTAGAAATGGACCCAATTCATTGAAATCACCGGCTATTGATTTACATTGGTGGCAAGTCGAACTCTTGGACGTTTACGCATTTTTAATAATCTCATTTATCATAATTTTATATATTTTTATATCTCTTATCACAAGAATTATTCTTGTTATGCAAACTGCATAAAAAGACAATTAAATTTCTAGACTAATTTCAATTGATTTTTGCTAATAATAAAGAATCTCGTTATTCCAACACTTTTTAAATTGCTGTTTGTTGATAAAGAAAAATTGATTATTAGTTTTTTTATTAGTTTTCGTAAAATTGGGTAGAACGTCTCATTGGAAAATTTATACTAAACCTAGCTTAACCTTAGCTTTTGTGGATATTTCAAGTCGGTACTTACTGAACGATAATCCTTTTACAAACTGCTATTAAGGAATCTGGAATCGCGAGAAGTACCTCTTTCTGGGTAAAGTTTCAAAATTAAGTTCACACTGTAGTCCAAAACCAATGATGCGAGAACTAACAACTGCAAAGAAACTTGGTACATTCGCTTGTATATGAGTTTATTGATCAAACTTGAATCGAAACTACGTTTAAAAAGGTAACAATAATATATCTTAATTACTAGAAACTTAATTCATTTATGTAAGTTGTTGATTGATTGAAATGGTCGACTAAACAAGTTGATGAAAAAAGAACCAAAATACATAAATTTTTCTTCTTCAAGAAACAATAAGTAGTCGCGCGCCGCTTCAAGATTATTTTATTTATATTCCCGAGATCAGCTTGTGCCGTATTTCCTTTACTAAAAGTTTGTATAATTATTTCCTGAAAATCGTTCGGTATATCAAACTCTAAGGCTTCCTTAAACTTTGCAGCGTTACCTTATTCATTGATGTGTTTAGAAACTGTTTTAAAATAACTGTAAAAATTATTCATTAAACTAAACTGCGCTACAATTGCTGTTTAAAAAAAATGCCGGATATTTTATTGAGAAAAAAAAATGCTCCTTCATTTTTCCAAGAGTCTCTCAGATGAAAGTATAGTAGTGAAGAGTAATTTTTTCACACGCTTCGATAGAGTTAGTCGCTTTCGGTGCACACGAGTAAAGAAGGTGCTTCGTTGGACAAAAGAGAAATAAATTTCTTGAGAGGCCAGCCATCCTTGCCGTGATAGTGAGGAGAGGGAGGCAAGAAGGTATTCCTGGGAAAAAATGGGGTGACAATTCTTCTCTTTTAAGAGACATTAGTCGGTGCCATAGCCTCGGGCCAGTTTCGAGGTGGGAGCTGCGCGAACGTCGCTCTCAAGGGAAAAAAAAGCTTCTACACTACAAAAACCTAGACCTCGAACTCAAAAGATTTACACGACAAAGGTTCAAGCGGGAAACAGATAAAGAAAGTTACGATAATTGTCGCGTAAAGACATACTCTTTTTAAGTAAAAGAAAGAAAAACTCGAGACAAAAAAGTCCCAAGAAAAACACTGAACGAAGCGAATAAAATGGAAATTTAAAGAGTAAGAAAAAATCCATTTTTTTCTTTCAAAAGTAGTAAAAGTTTTACTTATAAAAATTGTATTTTATTCTCTTATCGTTTAATCTAAAACTGTGATCTCGAAAACTCTTGTGTTCAGAAATAAATAAAACAATTTTAAAGAAAATTTTAGAGATGCAAAAAAATGAACTTTTTGAAATTTCTTTCCCTTTTGCAGTCTGATTTCAAGTGGCGAAAAACCTTCTTTCATGTATTTTTTCTATCTTTAAAGCTTTCCTTAAATTTACTCCTACCTTTTTTCAAGACAGTCGCGGTAGGTTTCCACGACCCTATCTTTTTGTTGCTCTTCGCTGGCGCAGACTCCAGCGAAATATTCGCACACAAAACGTGAGAGAAGCCAAGCAAAAAAAATGGTTTATTTTATTGTCAAATGTCAAGCAATTCAGTGGAACCGTTAATTATCGCGATATTCGTCTTGGGGAAAAAACAAATAATTTTCTGGCGTGCTTTGAATTCTCATTATTTTAATATTTTATTTCGCTGCCTTTAATTTTCGATAATATTTAATCTTCATTTTGTTGAATTAAATTTAAAAGAGTAAAGAATGTTTAAACATTTACTCGAATCCCTACAGAGCGGGTATGTTTTTGAAACTCTTACAATTTTTACAATAATTTATATGTTCTTCCAGATGACACGTTTTTTATTTTCAGGAAAATAGCAGAGTTTCTGAAATGAAGTCATAAAAGTTTGGTCGCTAGCTTCACCTGAGTATCTGCTATAGCTTTTTATTGGATGGAATACATTTAACTTCGAGGGCACGTATCTCAAGTGAGAGCAGTTAGAAACGTGGGAGCAAATATTTTTATTATTCAAGTGTGAAATTCTAATTTTTCTCTAAGCGTAAATAAACCGAGCCCTAGAAATTTTCAAAAATGAAATAAAAAGCATTTTATTATTCGCACATAATTGCATTCGTACAAAAGTTCATAAAGTTCCTTGACGCTTTAAAGAAATCTGGCAAAGAATCGACTGACAGGAAGGAGGATGTTTAACTATTAGAAGAAGAAACCGTGAAATTGAAACTCGGATTCTCCGCTTGTAAAAGGACACTTTCAAAAAAAGACCAATACAGGAAAGAGAGGATTCGATGAGATTGCTCGGTAGAGAAATTGCTCAGGCGTTAAAGAAAATTTGATTGAAAACTGAAATCTTTCTTCCGATAATATACTGCAAATACCATACTCTGTCTATTTACACTCGATTCTTTTTTCTTCCTTCAATGTTGCCATTGAAAATATGTTTTCTCCTATTGTACGAATATAAGAATAAAAAAATGGACCGACTGAAATTAATAAACTCACTTGACAAAGTTTTTTTACTTTTTTCCACTCTTTTAATGGGAAGTAATTGTAAAATGAACTTTTCTAGTGACTTTAACTTCAAGATTTAGTAATTAGTTGATAATAATAGTTGAGTTGATAATTGAAACTCCAGAATAGAGTGGAAAATATGAAAACAGAAGTATAAACAGAAACAAACAAGGAGTGCACGCTCATGTTGTTTTAATGGACAATATCGTTTGTTTTCCGCGTATTTGTTCTCTACAATGCGCCTCTGGTGGCCTCAATATACTGCAAAATTTCCGCAAATACACACACGACATTCATGTGTCTTTTAAAATGTAGATTCGTTCAATTCAATTAATTTCTTTGCCTAAATGATCATTCTACATATTATATTGAAGCAACTCCACTTTCTTTTCTCACGCATTGACTAAAATTTTCAATTTTTAAAATCCAACTAGGTTATTGGGTTGGCTGGATTCAAATTTTTATTCAAGATTTTACAAAAATTACTTTTTACACGATAATTAAAAAGATCTGCTGCTATGGAAATTATTAAGAAATATTTTTTTTTCTCAATAACAACATATAATATAGGATTAAAAAAAATTACAAAAGATAAAAACTGCCCCCAATCCCATTTAAATTAATTGTTTCCCCTTTTTTTAGTGGAATTTCATTTATGGAGAATTTAAGAGAAGGCGGAATACATATTATTTCGTGTTTTAATTAATTTATACTTTGCAACGGACAGAAAAATTGGCGTTTCAATTCTATTTCTAGATTCCAATCTCCGAGTTTTTACAGAGCCAAAGTTCGCGAAGCCACTTTCCTGCCGTGATTTCTTTTTCTTGCAAATCAGAGCTTATTCCGTCCATGCAATAACTCATCGGTCTCGTTGCAATACATTTCCCCCGACCTTTCATACCTTCTTCAGTTTCATTTTAAACTGAAGCATTGAAGCAAAAAGAAAAATTCCTCATATTTACTTTTGTACTAAAATCTAACTCGTATAAAAGGTTTAATTTTTAACTAAAATATTAATAAATACCATAACACAAAGTCTCATGAAATTTAACTAATAATATTAAAAAATAACACATTTTCAATTCCTTTAATATGAATGTTTTACATTATTACGATAATCACATCAACTCAAGATTGGAAAACAGTATTCAACACATTTTTTGAAAGACAAGGACGTGTAAAGATTTAATGAGAAATAAATAGTTGTCTTATCAGACTAAATATATTTTAGAAAGGCGATAACCTTTATTTGCGCTTATCTTGTTTAAAGGTATTAAAAACTATATGTATGTTCACTTCAGTATACAAAGAAGATTAAGAACGTTAATATAGACATTTTCTGAATGAGAAACGAATTTTTGGACGAATTTTTGGACGAATTTTTGGAAATTATTAAAGTAAATTGAAATGGTTCATTTACATACATTATCCTGGCCTTCACCGAGAGTAATAGGTATAATTCTTTTTAAATTCTTTATATTCACTTATATAAATTATATATTAATTAAACGAAACATTTACACGTAGTTGTATTCATCATTATGTAATTCATTTAGTACAAAACATGTTGTAATTATATTTATTATTTTTTTGTATAAAATACTTGTATAACTATTTTCAATATTTAATATTACATCTATATTTTAATTTTTCCACTGTCAAAATAAGGTAATGGCCCAATTTAAAATAATACTTTTCAAAAATTCATTTTAAGGCGTGGCAATAATAATGTCGCGTTATTAAAGTTCATAAGTTGGCTTACTCTCTAAATCTGAATATGCGATTCACATTATTCACATATATATTGAAAAGTTATAAGTCGTCAATTTTCATTTATTCAGATTGAGTGAGTAATAAATTCCTGTCAATGAAAAATTTTATTTAGTCAAATGTTAATATTTTCACCTATACTGTCCATCAATTTTACAATACTGCATTATTATTATTCTTATAAGTATTATTTTTAATGAATTTGTTCTACTTATAGCTGTTTAAATCCTAATGATACAAATGTCGGCTGAATTTAAGACTCAAAGAATTATTTAAAATCGAAATATTAGTTTAACTGAATTTTAAGGCAAGAAAACGATGGAAGGAGAACGAATTTTGAATGTATTTTGAACAATTATATATCTGAAATCCCTGCGCGACAAGGCCAGAAAAGTTTTTGGGTGGAAGCGAAAACTAGATGAAGGAATTTCTCGCTGATTGCTTTTCTAACCCTTTGAGCGATTTTATGCTCCACTCAAATGGACATTTTCTCTTCCTAGCGAGAAAGCAATTAAGCTTCAGAATACTAATTTCACACATTATGCAGTCGTTGGACCAAAAACGTTGTCCTCTCAAATTAAATACTATTTTATGCGCATCAAACCTTTTCAAGA